ATTCATAATATTGTTTTATGCAATGCCCCAGAGGACATTATACAAAAAAGGCATGTTGTGTTACTAAGGAAATGGACGTAGACAAAAATGAAGCATCTGAAATTCAAAATATGAATGTGATTTTTCATTGGGTCAAGAGCACACTTCACAGAACAGCATTAGAGGGAATGAACACTGAAAAAATAATTACAGAACTTTCAAAGTTGTTGCCTGCTAAAAGGAAAATATTAGACCAAACTAACTCAAGTCACAGATTTCATAAATTACTAAGCAAACCTTGGAATTCTGCTTGCATAAAATGCATTTTGCAAAAACTAAAAGGGGTTTTGTTTAGAATCTGAAATAATATTCCTCTTTCAAAAGCTAGTAAAAGCTATGATCCTGAAAATGACTCTACTTATACAGACCCCCACTGAGCCCTGTGTGGGTATATTCCCATAAAACAAGACTGAAGTACGTGATTTAAGGCTTGGCAGGGCTAAGTGCCCAAGCCTTCAAACACAATGGGACCGCTTGTGCATAAAAAAATTAAGCACGCGCCTAGGTGTTTGCAGATGCATAAATAATTCTCATGCATTGAGATGATATTTTAATATCTGTTTTATTGTCCTTTAGGTGTACTAAGTAATATACGGTAAATGATAGTACATTAATACCTCAGTATAGCAAAGCCAGAAATATCTCATCTATGCAAATCAACTCAGCACTGCTAAGATATTTCTCTTTCAACTGTATCTTGAATCGCCCTCTAAGAAATTCATAGCCTGAAGAGAATATAGCCCATAAATTATGGTCAAGGCAAAAATCTCATGTGCCTTTTGCAAATTATATCACACACAGTGCCACAAATTCCAATTCTATGGATTGGGTGTGAGAGATCAGCTTATTCAGTTGTCCATTACAGGCTAAACTCTGACTTGAGATACCATTTCTTAAGGGCCTGCTTCTTTTAGAACAAGGTAACTGAAGTTCATGGACCAAATATAATCCACAGGGTTCTAAATTACACCTGTAACTGACCTCTTCTTCAGTAGAGAAAAACATCCAAAGAGATCACAGACCCTGATAAGCAGTGCCCTAAGTGTCTTGATCAAAGTGTCAGTGTCTTGATCAAAGCACAGTTGCCATCTAACTCCATTTGATGCAACTTAAGCCTGACTTTCATACTCCTGGTTAATTGCCAGTAGAGAGGCTTTCCATTGGCTAAACTCCATTTTAGGTCCTGGGTACATTTGCTTTACTCTTTATTCTCCTCCACTAAAAGACAGACATAATAGGAGGCAATTATAAAATCAACTTGTGATAACAATCAAGATAAAGATGTCACATCCTTCTATTGTTTAAACTCCAGTGGTAGAGCGTAATGTTCAAACCAAAAGTTTCAGATCCTTAATTTTTAACAAGTATGAAACTTTTGAAGTTATGATGGAACAAACACACTGTAATCTGATACCTTCAACCGGCAGAACAGTACAGCACCAAAAAGGGAATAAATAGTCTTATTTTTAACAGTCATCAGTAGAGAAAATGTTTAATATATATGAATTAAGTTGTAACTTACGTAACCTGTGTTTCATCCTTGGAGTAGTTTTGTGTTCACATCCCTCTTAAAAGCTTAGTTTAGTACCATGGTTATTGTACTTACTCGAAATCTGTCCTCCCAAGAAGTCTGTAAAAGCTGAATCATCTCTAGTGGGGAGCCAAGTTCAGTGATGGTGGTCAGGGTATCTGGGATGTCATTACTGTCCTGATAACAATAACCATAGAGCTGGAAAAAAAATACATACAAGAAAAAGGTATCAATACAACACACCGTGGGATGCTTTAGTTTTCTTTTTTCAGTGGGTATGAAGAGTACAGCATCAGTGTCCTGCATCCATCTTGCTCCCTTTCATCCTGTATATTTTGCAACATGCCCTTAAAGCCCAGAGTAGCAGCCTTGTATCCTCCCATTCGAGCTGAGCTCACTTGAAGCCCATCAACAAAACGCTCCAATCGCCTAGCACAATGTCTATGGGCAATAAGTAGTACATAACTACTATGTTACATCTGCATATTTTTCTGTGCAAGCTTTTATAATCAAAAGTCTTGTTCAGAAATTTATATCTAAAAGTATGTATATGCCCAGACTTGGAACTTTGTCAGAAGGAAATAAGTACACAGCACATATGTTATCTAGCAGAATCATAATTACTGTCTGCTTTAAAAAGTTGCTCTTAAAATGGTATTTTCTACAGGACTATCACTGGTGCACTGAGTGTTTAAGCAAGAAAGCAAGCTGACCTGTATCTTATTAATTAACTTTAAAAAGAAGTTGCAACTGTCAAGGCATATCTTTTTGAAAGCAAAGTTAATTTCTAATTACACTTGCTGTACTTAAAGACACGATACTGACAGAGAGGAGAGAATGCTGCAAAAATATTTTGTAAGGCATTTCTTAAATTTAAAAATTAAGGCATTACAGCCTTGTTCCAGTTTCTTTTGTGTTTGTTTTCCAAGAACATTTGTGTTATGGAGTTGTATTTGCACAGCAAGAACATGTTGCCCCTGTGCTTGAAGTGAATTATTTTATATGAAATAGGGCATAACTTGGCAAAGATAGAGGGCTAGGCTCCTAGAAACTCCTTGCAAAGTCCTGACACAACAGAAGTTAAATGAGCCTGACAAGGATCTGATTCTAAATACCGTAGCTGGGGCAACATGTTCATTAAATAAAATGTAACTCTGCACCCAGCCAAATAAGCCCTATCGTGAAAGGACCTGCCTGCTACAAAAGCTTTGACATCTTCAAAAAAACCCTTATCTGACTTATCAGCTCTCATACCCTAAGAGAGAACAAGTCCCAGGCTTCTTCAAGCCCACCTTCTGATCACAGACGGGATCCAAAATCAGGAGAGTCAATTAGAACTTTCATACAGACTTCACATGATTTGGATTGTGTCCTATAATAGTTAGGCTCATTCAGCACGGAGTCAAAAACAACACCAACCCAACTCAAGGTTTTAATATCCAACACAAGTAACTCAATCAACTGATGATACAGAATGAGGGAGGGCATTGCAACAAATTTACTGAATACGTTTAAATAGGAAGAGAATTTGTGTATTGTGATCTGGTCGCTGACGTGTTTATTGTGACTTCACTGATAAACAGAAAAAGGAGGCAAATTCAGTAAATATTGTATATTATTGTTACCAATCATTCCCTTAGCTCTGTCATTTATTTTCAAAGACAGAAAGCATTACAAAAATGTAAGTGAAGTAAGACATTTTTTTAAGTGGTGCAGTGGCATAGTATTTCAAAACAACTGGTAAAACATGCACATTAAACAAAACACACAGAAGCTAGCAGAGTTTATTTTAAAACATACAGTAGAGGGTTTGGCATCACATATGTACTTGTGTTAGGTACTGCTACACTCAAGATGTGTAGGGCTAAACTAAGGAAATAGGGCTGCTTTATTTATTACAATGATAATATCACATCAACCTAGAATTACTCAGTCTGTTAATGTCTGTGACAATGTGTATGCACTCGTTTCTGATACTGGCACAAAAGTAAAAACTTAGCAGGACCCAAGCTATCTTAGTTCACATCAGACCAACTGTTACTACAAAATCATTACACATTAGGAAAAATATAATTCAAAAGAGAATTAAAATATTTTATAGCATAGTTGTTTTTGCTAAGAAGAATATACAACAGGCCTGATCCAGCAGCCCTCACCAATCAGAATTTAACTTTCTCATGGATTTGAACTAAGAGCAGGGATTGGGCCCCGTATTTTTACAACCTTAAGTTTTGTGAAGCAGATAGGACTAACAGTCAAGTTTTTCAAATAATAGGATAAAATTATCTGTTGAAAAAAATCTGCATTAAATAGGTGTAATATTAAGAAAAATTTAATTCCAAATATCAATTTCATAATCAATGTCATTTCACAGCAATAATGAATATGAAAGGGTTTAATTCTTTGTTGGCCCTTCAAGCCCTCTTTAAGACTAGAAAATGAACGAATTATTTAATAATACATATTATCTTTAGATACTCAGTCATAATAATGTGATAGCCATCTTTGCATGAAAATGTTATGACTATTTAAATTATTCAAACAAGAATACATTCAGAATACACATGTATGAATTAAACTTCAGTGTATGGATTCCTCGAGACTTAATAATGTGATAAATTTGGTCTTGGGAGGTGGGTGCTGTTGCTTTCTATTATCTCATTTTAGAAGCCAGTTCCAGCACTGCAAAAAGCCCTGCTGACTGATCCTCTATGTACTTAGTGCACACTTCACTGCTTTGGAGCCAAGTTAATTGCTTTGGTCACTGTGGAGGTTTGAAGGACCCAATGCAGTTTTCCTTCCACAGGAAAATCTCTCTTCCCTCTCAGAGAATAAATTTTCTTATACAACGAGTGCTGAATTTAATGAAATTCAGATGTTGGGGTTTTTTTTAATAGGACTAATGCAGAAAAATATAAAGCAATTCTAAGCAAGGAAATATACTATCTGGCTAAAGCCCTTCTTTAATACTTTTACTTATGTAAAAGAATTCTAGCTGTGGTATTACTATTTGGTAATATAAGTTCTTAGCAGCATGAAAGACTGGGATGGGGATGGGTTTGGGGACTACATTTATATTTATTGTAAATAGCAGCCAGAGGCCCAATGCAAAAATACATATGCAACGATGTGGCCATATTTGTGTGTACAATTACAGTGACCTCACATATAAAATGGCTATGTTTTGAGGCAAAAAGTCCTCTAAAATGGCCAATTAAGATGGGAAGCTAAAATGGCCATTTGTCTGCACATCCATCCCGTATTTCTGAACAACAACATGAAATATAGACTCACAACTGCACATGCATTATTAAGCAACATTTCCAAGGCCTTTTCTTTCTTGAAGTGCATCATCAGATCATCTAGTTTGTCTGTCTGCCACTTCACAGCTACCCAAATTCTTTGGTTTTTATCTAATCAATTTTTTAAACTCCTAAATGGAACGGTGTGGTTTGCATCTGCATGTAATGAAGTAAATAATTTTTTTTATACTGTACATATTTGGATCAACCAAAGGCAATAATACAAAAAGCAACAACACAGGGAGACTAAATAAAAGTGCAGTAAAAAAATAACACAAATTAACTTCAGCATCTAAAATTGTTTGTAAGGATGTAGTTTTGCTCTATCACATAATTACATTTTAGACATAATTAGAAACATTGTTTTTCATCCCCCGATTCAACATGGTTCCAATTATGTATATGGAAAAGAAACAAAGTCAAATGAACATATTTTTGATATGTCAAACTATTACTTTTAAATAGCACAAATATGTATCTTTGCATAGAATCTAATAGCAAACAGTTGCTAACTTAAATTTTTCTTAACGGAAAAAGCATTTCCAGTGAGATATGAAAAGTTTAGCTGTTCACAAATATAAAGCATCCCTGTGTTTGTTTAAATTTGTCTTACTCATAAACCTAGTCCTCTACTCTTTATGCACCAAAACTCCTGCTTACACTTCAATTATTTTTGTTGCATAAATTATATTATTTTGTAAAATTTCAGGTCTATATAACCAGCCAGTTCATGTCCCTTTAGAATTCGTTTTTGCTACAAATTATAGTGACAGGGTTGCCCTTTTCAGACAAGGTGGGGAAGGAGGGGGGAAGCAGAGGTCAGACAACACACAAAAGCTGACAAGCTTATTGAATAAAAACACAAAATAAAGGAGCTTATTAAGCTGTCATCAGTGAGCAAGTATATGCAAACAACAGACCGTCCTACATTAGTGTAGGCACCATATCTGTATTTTCAAAAACAAAATGTCAAGAAAAGGCTTAGCAAATTGTTACGTTTCGTTTCTATAGCATGCTTAATCAGGAGCTGTACAAAATTGAAAAGCTTCCAAAGTGAGATCAATTGGCCAGATTCTGCTCTCAGCTCGTGGCAGCCTGATGCAGTATCACCAGCACAAAGTTTTTCAAAGATCAAAAGCCAGACCTGTAAAATTAATTATACTGGCCTAATAAAAAAAAATCACAATTTTTCTATTATATATTAAGAGTCCTTCAGTTTGCTTTTTAGATCGTGCCGTTAATATTCCACGGTTACAGTTTTTCTTCGTGCTGGCGAAAGCTAGAAACCTACCTTTTTTTCTAAATGAAAACTGAAATCTTCACATGCTCACTTACCTCTCACTTAGGAGCAGCAAATATCATGAGACCTGTGATAAAATTATGAGAGTTGGCAACATTGGCATTGGACCTGATTTTCCTCTCGGTGATTTACCAAGTTACTCCAGATCCATCTGCAGTAAAAGAGACTACTTTGACCCAAAATAGGACATATTAAAAATAAAAATTCTTGCTCATGTGTACAAGGAACTAGTAAGTACACTGCCCTCAGAAGGGTGTTTATTTTCAAAGATACATATATATGCCTTGCCAAACTGAAACTTAGGCCAGGATTGGTCTTAGCAAAGTTAGATTGCTACCGAGCTAATTTCCATTGAACTCAATAGAAAGACTCCCACTGATCAAAGCAAAAATAGGACATAGCACTAAGTAGCTAAGTTTAAAAAAAGGACTGTAAAGTGTTTCGCCATGCTAATGAAATCATATGGAAGGACAAAATCAGACGGTAAACTTTTGCCCAATGCTTTGGCTATGCCTTTCTTTGTCATGACAACATACTAGTCACTTCAAGGAGCAATATATATGAACAGCCACAATGAGCATGGTGCCTAATATTTA